CTTACAGCACCTGGTATTCCCAAGCGGTCATCCATCTAGTTACTGACCAGGCTCGACGTTCATTAACTTCGCTGATCGTACAGGAACCAATGTTTCAACGTTATCTGGCCATAAGCGTTCGGTATATACGTCTAGTTTCAAGAAATAAAAACAATGGAAACTAGTATTGCTCGTCTGATATATGTTATTTTTAAAACTCAAATCTGTCGATAATGAAAAAAGAATCCAAGAAATGTTTTTCTCTTTTCCTTTGTCTATTTTCTTTCATTCGTTTTTGTCATTTTCGTAACTTATTTTTCCGAGTCGTTTTGTTTTATTCTGGCTGCTTTTTTTTTATCATTGACTTCATCATTTTCTGTTTCTTGTTTTGAAAGTGGGCAGCAACAAAATTACGAAATGATAAAAGAGAACGAAACAAGATAAGTATTTAATAAAACAAGGGAATAAAAAAAGGTTTTGCCGTCTTTAATGGTCTTCGGACTTATAAGAGTCCTTTTAACTGTCCGTATGTGTAACTTCGAGCAGTTACCAATAGATTCTGTTGTGATACTATGGAAAGCCACGTAGAAAGGGAATAGGTTGTTTTATATTGAGCTCAAGACAATTCCTTTTTTAATCGACTTTGACCGAAGGGGAACGGGAAGTAAAGGAGGGGATGAGGTGTTTTGAAGATCAAGTAAAAAAAAAAAAAGGAAATAAGGTTTATCCGGGTGCTGGCTTAAAATAATGCTTGGGATCGGGAAGAGTTCTGGTTCGTCCTTGACGGGAGACGGACTTATCTAACTTGTGGTTCCTGTCCCGTCAATTCATACATCACATCGGGATGGGTAGATTGGTGAGACATGGATAGGGGGAAGAGCTGAGGTGTTAGACCAACATAGCAAAAGTTGTCTCAAGTATCACCTACCTACTCACTCAGACGAGCAGTCGAAGCCCAGAAGAAAACATCTATTTTATAATATGGGAAACAGCGTTCGCGTTCTTATTTATCGATGTGATATTTGTCGTTCACACTGTTAGTTTGTGAGCATGCAGTAGGCCCTTTCCCAGAAATTTGAGAAATAGAATTCAACGTGGGATGATCATTCACCGCTCAGTGGAAAGCTTGATCGACGATCGCGTTGTATGTTTACAGTGTGTATCTTCAAGCACATGGCGCGATGCGTACCCCCAAAAAGAAACGGATCGTCCATTCGTAGTTCTCATCTCATATAGTCCAACATAATGTCCTCATTAGGAGCTGAATGTTGGGCAATGTGCAGCCTTCTTTTTACTCCAGAAAAAGAGGCGTAACCAATGTCATTCCTATGGTTTCTCCTTCTTTTAATGCCGATGAAAGAAATGAAAGCGAAAAAAGTCGTGTCTATATTTCTGAGATGAGGCATTATAACTATTTACACTGTTTACATAGTTTGGACTGTTGTTCTTATCTTTATTGCTATATTCACAGTCTATATTTCTGAGATGAGGTATTATAACTATTTACACTATTTACATCGTTCGGACTATTGTTCTCATCTTTATTGCCATATTTACAAAATTTCAGCCGTCGTACGCTCCAGCCTTCTTCAGTTGACATAAGTTGGAATTTCGTACCGAACCTAAAAAACAAAGCAAGTATAATAAATAAAACTTACGGTAGACCTGTTAATTAGGAAGTTAAGAAAAACCTGTATCATGTCAAAAGGGTAATAGTCAGACTAACAGTTACTGGATCGAAAAGTGAAATTTACAAATCTGGGTTTTGTAAGCGATCTGGGATTGCAAAGGAAATATTTGTCGCAGATTACTTCCAGACTCGAACATCGGGTTCAGAAAGAAATGCCGAAAACTCGATTCGCAGGTACTATCTCACAAATCACAATACACACAATCAGTCAGAAAAATAACTCACTCTCCGACAAACGCGGTAGCCAAAATCCTCGAAGTTTACTTCCCCGATTTGAGAACACCAACTGCTTTTATCAGCCGAGCATTTTTTTCATTCACCGACAACTGGCAGGGGACGCTCAATTTTTGCATATGAAAATACTTTTATAGAGACTCTTGCGACAGACTTGTTTTTAATATAATTATACCGTCTTCAGCATGTCCTGAGGAATACGTGCCCTTTTTTCTTGGTAAGTAATTTTCGTTTTCGCCGTTTTCTTCGCTATAATTCCGACCAACATGTTGCATTCACTTTCTCACTAAACCAGAGGGAAATGCATGGCTCGATGTCTTCACTTACCAATTGTGGTGTAAATATCAAAGCAAACAGTGTTCTCCAGGTTCTAATAGAAGCCGATTTAGGGCATCTACACGAATTCAAACCCCTGGACAAGGCAAAGAGAAATAAGACCACCGTCGTTTCCGAGAAATAATATTAATTCAGTGATAATAAAGAAAAAGAAGGTTTGGAGAGCCAGGAACTCCTACATCGTAAAGTGACTTGGAATTTTATAAAATAAATCACTCAAAGCTATGGATAAAACAACAGGTTAGAATGGGCTTTCTAGTTCTAGTTGGAATCTGCCCGAAGAGAAGGAATATTTTGAATTCAAAACTGAGCAAAAGGTAACGGGAAAATACTATATGCTTTTTCCCAAGAAGCCTTTGAAATTTTTCAGATAATAAAGAAATGTAATTTGTGGAGAGTCGTTCTATTGATCGCCTGTTCTCATAGGACTCTTTAGCAAGTTGCTACAAAACGAAAACATTAAATTAAACAATTTTGCCAGATCGAGGCTTTCAAAGATGGATGCCATATATGTCACCAAACTCGTTCCGAAATATCTAAAATGTGGGCTGGAATCTGCCCTAAAAGAAGGAATATTATGAATTCAAAAATAGATAAAAGGCAGCTGGAAAACACTACATTGTTTTTTTCAGAAATATCTAAAACTTTGGCTGTATACGACTGCTTAAAAAATAGTTTCGATGGAGTTTGTCCTGTTGGTCTCAGGGAGGACCATCCTTCCTCGAACCTCGTAGATGGGTGTTACAGAATCCAAAAAATAGAACTGTATCAGATAATAGAAAGCTTATGGATTTTCAACAGTTGCAACAATTAAAATCGATAGCACATCTAACTCGAGGATTAAACAACGATATTTTGAAGATGGTGTCAATCTACAATACTCCAAGAAATTGCAAGGAAGGAAGCCATGATTAATAACGGAAAGTCTATTAACAGTTACTGTACTTGAGAAACATATTTTCCTGGAAAAATTGTTTTAAGAGCAGCACTGACAGCTCTGTCATTGAATGTTTTCTTATTAGGATACAGCCAATATTAACATTTGATCTCAAACGCTTAGAGAAGGATCCAAGAGTTTGAGAACAAATGCATGAGAAAAATCCTTGGTATTTTCTATTGGGTACAAAAGCCAATGAGTTTGTGCGGAAAAGGGTTGGAATTTTTGTGGGACACCAGAAAGCTCTGCTTCGAGAAATCCAAATTAATGGTGAATAGCACAAACAGTAACACCTGTGTCAACATTATCATGATTGGGAATTCACTGGAGAAAGTGTCCTGTTTTTAATATTTAGAAGCAATCTTGTCTAATGATGGTACCGGCAAATCGGAAATCCGCACACAGATTGTCACTGCCATGGTAGCGATGGCCAAATTGGCAAGAATATGGAGGAGCAAAATCAGCTTTTGAAGTACAGACTGTACAAATCGCTGGTAGTCTCTTATTCTCCTATATTGATGTGAAACGTGGATACTGTTGGAAGATACAGAGAGAAGGATCCAAGCGTTTGAGAACAAATGCATGAGAAAACTCCTTGGCATTTTGTATTGAGAAAAAAAAAGAGTTTGGGTGGAAAAGGGTTAAATGTTTTGTGGGACATAAAGAACTTCTAGCAAATGTCAAACAGAGAAAAATGGCGTGGTTTGGACACATTAGAATTCACCATTGAAGAGGGATATCAGAGAGGGCGCCAACGCAAAAGATGGTTGGACAATATCAAAAAATGTACAAGTATGACTGTACCAGAATTTCTGATGGCTGCCGTTTATAGGATCCCGTGGAAAAGAGTTCTGTATTCGGATTCGCCAATATAATAACACACACCAAGCCATTCCAAATCGTCGCCTTGAAATTTAAAAACGACGATATCTGCCAATAACAATAGTTATAATAGTTATATTAGCTGTTTCCTTATAACGAAGCCTTCGGACTTCGTTCACCGAACAGCCAATGCTACTAGAGTGATACTTCTTTTCATTCTTTGGTTATCGGTCTCGGATCAAAGTGTAGTATATGTTGTCTTCATCTCTAAGGATGATATAATGAAATATTCCGCATTCATTGACCTAGCAGCCAGTGTTACTCTTGCATGGAATTTATAAAATATTTCTGTTAAAACGACTTTCAGAAAAATAACTTTCTGATGTCCACTCACTGTTACTCCTCTTTCCAGTATTGATGAGGGATCCCTAAGGCCTACAGGTTTCATTTGCCCGAAAAAAATTAACTATTGTTTTATACAGCTGACTGTTTAGATATCCCTATGTTCGCTGCCTGGAATCCACATGAAGGGCTTGAACTGATGAGGCTATTCAAGAACATGACTCGAGTTTTCAGCTGGATCTTTTGGTTTTGTAGCAACTCGCCGTGTTGGGCGAAACTATCGCAGCGTAGTCTATGTTTAATTTCCTTGTCCGTTAAAATCTTTCTATAAAAATGCTGGCTGTAAAACTGTAGATTTTAGGAAAGATGAGCGACAACATGAAGGCCATTATCTGAATCGACAACGTAGGTAAGGCTAACTTCTGCCATTTTTGGGTTTTTGTCTTTCCCTATTTTCTACCATTGTTTCTTCTCTCCCTTGTTTTCACAGTAGTTTATTTCTTTCGTTACCATTTTTGTGTCTAGCCACATTTTCCTTTCTGTCTTTTGCCTTTCTCTTGAAGACAGAAATCTGAAAACAGATGCCGCCTTGAACTCTTTTTTATATTCCTAACGTTAAGTTGTTCAGAAAATTTCCAGGCTATGTTTAAGCTTAATATATTTTGCCTCAGATTTTTTCTCAAAAAAAATATGAAAACAAAAATTCCTAGAATTTTTTATTGTAAATTTGTTTATTGAAATAAAGAGAAATTTAGTAATTTTATAAAAGA